CCTGTACACATAAAATTAAAGTGTTTTTAAATTATAAAGAAAAGAGTAAGACAATTTAGTAGCCCTTGGCAAAGTTCATTGAAAAGAGAGAAAAACCAAAAAATATTTTTTAAAAAATCAGAATTTTAGAGACTGGAGACCACAATTATGATCAGTGTTCAAGAGCTTTACAGGTTGCTTTATAGCATGGTATTAGAGCCCTGCTAAAGGAGACAAACACCTAAAGATGTTCACTTGCTAAAACAGACTCAGCGGTAAAAAGCACTGACTGCTCTTCCAGAGGACCAGGGTTCAGTTCCCAGCATCTATCCACATGACAGCTCACAATTGTCTGTAACTTTAGCTCCAGGGGATTTGACACCCTTACACAGACATACATGCAGGCAAAACACCAATATATATAAAACAAAAATAATACAGTTTTTAAAAATGTTTTTTAATTAAAAAAACATACGAAATAGAAAATATGCTAACTGGTCGGCAGGTTAAGAGCACTTGCTATTCTTGCAGGGGACTCAGACTTGGTTCCCAGCACCCACAAGTCAGCTCACCGCTTCTCTCCAGTTCTAGGAAATCTAATACCCTCTTAGGTGTCCATGTGCACCAGGCATGCATACAATTCACTTACATACATAGAGGCATTCATACATACATAGGAAATAAAAGAAGATTTATTTTAAAAAGAGAAGGAAAATATGCGTGATGCTACTGTTGAATGCTGTCAATCATTTAAGAAAGAAATATTAACTATTCTTATACAGTTTCCCCTAGAAACTTAAGTTTATTTTGTAAATCCAGGGTGATAATGAAACCTGAACTGTACAAAGTCAATACAGAAAAAGAAACAGATGGGCTAATATCCCTTGTCAGTCCAGACACGAAGACATTACCAAATCAACCAATATGCAAAAAATTATGCCAACTCTTTGCTGCCAGACCTCCTCCATCATGGGTTGCATGCATGCTCCCGGTAAGGGCCTGTCCTGGTGCTGTCCCCACGTGGCTGAAGCTGACTGACGTGAAGGAACAGATTTACAAACTGGTCAAGAAAGGCCTCGCTCCCTCCCAAATAGACATGATCCTGAGGGACTTACATGGTGTAGCACAGGTCCATTTTGTGACTGGTAATAAAATCTTGAGAATCCTTAAGTCCAAAGGCCTTGTCCCTGATTTCCTTGAGGATCTCTACCATTTGGTTAAGAAGGCAGTCACTGTCAGAAAGCATGTTGAGAGGAACAGAAAGGAGAAGGATGCTAAATTCCACCTGGTTCTGATAGCAGATTTCACCGGCTGGCTCGTTATTATAAGACTAAGCGAGTCTCCCACACAAACTGGAAATATGAGTCATCCACAGTCTCTGATTTAGTGCCACAAATTCTCTTGTGTACACAAGCAATAAAATAACTTTGAATAAAAAAAATTATGCCGAATGTAGTCCAAGAATTGAAGCAAGATGCAACATCTGAAAGTCCTCAAATTATTTAACAGCAGGAAAGAGAAAAACCACAAGATCATCTCAACGGGTACAAAAAAAAAAATTCACCTGATAAATTTCAACTGTCATTCGTAAGAGTTCTTAACAAACTAGGAGTGGAAAGGAGTTTAAGAAGTTTGAAAAGGGTATCTATTATATATAGCGATAACTGGGTGGCTAATGACTCTGTCTCCAGGCCCGATCTCCAGGTCTCAGTTTGGACCTAGGAATCCACATGATGGACGGTGAAAACCATCTTCTGTGCATTACCCAGTGGCGTGTGCACATGTGTGTGCGACACAGGCACAAATAAACTAAATGTGATAAAAATGTTAAAACTACCACAAATATCACCTCAAAGGATCCAGAAATCTCACTAGAAGGTATGCGCTCAGATAATAATATTTAATTTTGATTTTTTGATGCTTTCCTCCCAAGGCTGAGAATAAGACAAGCATATTAGCTTTTCTAAACCATTTCCATTTAATGGGGCACTAAGAGGCAATCCCAGCCAGGGCAATTAAATAAGAACTATAATGATTGGAAAAGAAGAACTAAGATTTTTTTTTAGTTATAGATAAAATGATTGCCTACACACAGAACTCTAAATAATCTATAATGAGGTCATAATATACAAATGTAACAAGAGTATAGACTGCTTGACCAGTGGACAAAACTCGGTAATATTTATATGAGGATGTAGCAAGCAATTCCAAAACAACAGAATGGAAACAAGTTTCACTAACAATAGCATCCAAATGTTTTGGAAAACATTTACAAAAGGTGTGTGGTTCCTGGTGAGGTGGTGATTATGGAAGAGAGGGATGGAATGGTACTGTTGGGGAGAGGGTGTTTGTTGGGGATGTGAATGTATACAGTTATTGGAAAGATTGTGGAGGCTCTGCACAAACAAAATGTAGAACTTTTAAACGACCCGGAAATCTTAGTCTCAGGTTCAGACTCAGATCACCAAAATTGTTGTTTAAATATAAGTTTGCTCATGTTCACCCTATAAAAAGAAGGAATTCTATCATTCATCAGCGCATGGATGGACCTGAAGGACACTATGCTAATAAAACATGCCAGATATGCCAAAGGGAAGAAATGTAGCATGGTCTACAGCAGTGGTTCTTAACCCTCCGAATGCTGCAGCCCTTGAATACAGTTCCTCATGTTGTGACCCCCAAACCAGAAAATTATTTTCATTGCTACTTCATAACTTTAATTTTGCTACTGTTACGAATAAAAATGCAAATATCTCATGTTTCTGATGGTCTTAGGTGACCCCTGTGAAAGGGTTGCTCAACCCCTAAAGGGGTCACAACCCACAGGTTGAGGACCATTGATGTATGGTATTGGATACAAAATCTCCCCACCTCAGCCTTGACAGTAGATTTGGCTTCCAGGGGTAATCAAACACTGTAAGCACTGTCACTGTCTTGTGAATCTGGGCTCGTGTTTCTTGCCATCTCTGTCCTGTTACAAACACACCCCTACTCGGTCTTCTCCCTCTTGGCTGTTCTCTACAGCGAGTGTCTCAATGACTCAAAAGCAGGTGACTCAAGGCTATGTCTTAATCCTGACAGCATAGACCAATGACACCTAGGAGAGGATGCCATGATTCCACTGGCCCATCCCATTAGGTGGAACCCACTACAGGTGTCACCTATGGTCCAAATATGCCACCCAGCTTCCAAATATGACTCATCAGCCTTTGCTCATGGACTGTCCTCTGCAGCCTGGTGGGTTCTGTGCTGAGAGGACCCACCTGGAAGGCCAGTGGGGTACAGTGTCTCCCAACAGCGCTGTGAGCTACTTCTTGGAATGCTAGCATTATTCGAGCCAATCAGGGAGAAGCTGGGAGATTTGAGAGAAGTCAGATTTTATTTTTCCAGACAGGGTTTCTCTACTATGTAGCTCTGGCTGTCTTGGAACTCGCTATGTAGAAGGGACTGGCCTCAGAGTCACAGAGACCCACTTGCCTCTGCCTCCCAAGTGCTGGGATTGAAGAGTGTACCACCACACTGAGCTCCAAAAGTTAAAGATTCTTAATTAACTGAATACTTTATTTGGGTTCCAGAAACCTTACTGAATCATCTCAGGCATTAGGCAACACACTTCCTTGAAAAGCAAGCATCTTCCCACCCCCCACAAATTTTGTTTGGGGTTGTGGCTTAAGAAGTGTTCTGAAACAGATGTGAAGAAGTTTGCTCAGTGATGTACTGTGCTGGAGTTCTGAAGGCCTGCAGCAGATGGAAACTCTAACTCTTGTTATCATTTTTTTTTTCAAGACAGGGTTTCACTACATAGCTCTGGCTGTCCTGGAATTCACTGTGTAGACCAGGATAGCCTCAAACTCACAAAGATTTACCTGCCTCTACCTCCTGAGTACTGGGATTAAAGACATCACTATGCCTGATATATATATTATATCTCAATATATTATGTATTCAATATATGTTTGATATACTCAATATATATTGAAATTGTCAAAATTCACAAATTAAGTTTCAATGCACTGATGTAAGCAGATGAGGTCATCTAGTGGTGTGTGTGTGTGTGTGTGTGTGTGTGTGTGTGTGTGTGTGTGTGGTTTTGAGACAGGGTTTCTCTGTGTAGTCCTGGCTGTCCTGGAACTCACTCTGTAGACCAGGCCGACCTTAGACTCAAGAGGTCTACCTGCCTTTGATTGCGCTGGCATTGAAGTGCATCACCAGGGATCTAGTCTATTATTTCCTGTTCTGGGTTCTCAGCATAGGAACTATATATATAACAAATTCAAGAAGAAGAGGAGGAGGAAGAAAGAAGAGGAGGAAGAAAGGGTAGAAAAAGGAGGAAGAAGAGACCTGACCGCAGTAGCCACGTTCCGAGTCAGCTCCTCCAGGGGCAGAAGCTGGAACTCAAATGTCTTCTAGCTGAGCGGTTGGACGCTGAGGGCGCAGGCAGGTGTTTCTGCGACCAGCTCTATGCTGTGTCCAGTATGAGAAGCTGATCTGCAGGCAGCAAGGGGCAGGTGGCCAGTGAACTCAGGCTTTCCTTGGTGGTACAAATAGTGTTCTAAACGGTATAGAAGCACAGATTTATCTTCTGTTACTAGGGTGACAGTCATAGTATTAGGCAGAGTATGAAGGTGCCTGATTTTGACTTTAGCTGCAAGAACGTGCGAGCTCTTTTACAGTGTGACACCATTGTTTATTTGGCTCAGCAATTAATTGATTTAAAACGAGTAAAAAAGGCCCTTAGGGCAATAATCTGGACTTTTGCTGTCTGCCAGCACGAGATTACTGAGGGGAAATTCCCGTTTCTTGGAGTATTGAGTATTATGAGTTTTTATAATTATGGACATACCCATGACTTGAAAACTACAATAAAAATGTCATGATTCTAAAAAAAAAAAAAGGTGTCAATCAAGTCTTGTCCTGAGTCTGGGAGCCCTGCCCTTATGCTCCTCACGCATGTGCGCTCAGGTTTCAGGAAAGGGATTGATTGGATTGGTGTTATTAAGCTCCTCCTCCAGAAAGTTTTCCTCACGAGGAGAGCTGGCGGTCCCGGTCCAGTCCCGCCAAATACGATGCTGTAGGACGGGAATTCAGAGAACTTTTCTGGGCTGAGGAAACAGCTTCTTCGTGGATTTTGAGAAGCCGCGGGATCCAGAATCAGCGCAACCCTAACTTCATGAAGTCTCCATTATGCCGCGCTCCCGCAGCCTCTGCGGCTTGGGCAGGTCACACCCCAGGTCCCAGGCCACTCCCTGGACACAGACCTCTGCCTAGGGTCCTGAAGACCGGCAAGTTACAAGCCGTTGTCTTTCTGCTACTGGTGAGTATCGCCCGGGAAGAGCGGGAAGAGAGCCGTGCCCACCGAGAGCGCGCGCTCTGGAACAGGAAGCGGGGTGTGACGCAAAATGTCCTGCGGCCAGGGGTGCACGTGCCTACGTGCCCTACGGGCGCGCGAGGTGGAAGGAGGTCTGACATTGTTGGGGGACACCACTGTGGAGGAGGGAGAACTCGATGGTGAAAGGTGGAAGGTCCGATGGTTGGGTGGGGGTGGGGAACCCCAAGATGGGATGTAGCAGGGTGTGGAAGAGGTGAGCGGAGGACTCTAGATTGGGGAAAATATGACTAGGCAGGGCTCCGCTAGGGGGTGGGGGGAGGATCTGACTGTAAGTGAGGGAACCCAAAGGTGGAAGTTAGGTGGGAGACTGGGCCCGGACGGAGGGGAGAAAGACCAAGGCGGGGGTGCAGAGAGGTGGAAAGGAAGGACCCAACCGACTCTGTGAAACTCACCAGAGCACCATACCTGGGACTAGATGGGGCAGGGGAAGAGAACCCGGTTACCTTGCAGAACCTAAGGGGCAGAAAGAATTTAGAAACAGAGGCTGGAGGATTGACCCTGCCTAGCTGCTGGAGCGGACCTCTGACACCTCTCTTCGCAAGGCTAGGAGAGAAAAGTGCCTGATTTTGACTTTAGCTGCAAGAACGCGCGAGCTCATTTATAGTGTGACACCATTGTTTATTTGGCTCAGCAATTTATTGATTTAAAACAAGTAAAAAGGCCCTTAAGGCAATAATCTGGACTTTTGCCGTCTGCCAGCACGAGATTACGGAGGGGGAATTCCAGTTTCTTGGAGTCCACCGATTCTAATTTGTAATAGTCAGAGAGGCACACAGGTGTCTCTTTAGACACACACACATTTATATTCATTTTTGTGAGGCTGGTTAACAGTGCTCCACCTTCTGTTTTAATACTTCACTGTTTCAGACATGCCTATGTCTGAAAAAAGGTTAGGACATGTTCAGTTAGTGCCAGGCACCCCTGCGTAAGAACCATGTCTTCCGTACTCTCTTGGCTTTCAGCTACTTTTGGTTCTACTTTTTTAGCTACTTGGAAAAGAGAGAGAGAGAGAGAAGCAGAGCAATGGTTGCCAGCATGGAAAAGTGGATGGAGGAGCGAGCGGTTTGCTATTTTAATGGGTACTGACTTTCAGTTTTACAAGATGAAAAGAATTCTGGATTTTGTTTGCTTGACAATGTGAATGCTGGCCTAGATGTAAATGTATGTATACGTAAATGAATTTAAAAAAAAAAAACTCTGTGTGAGCAGAAAAAAATAACGACATCTTGAATTTTATAGGAAAATGGGTGAAGCTAGAAAACATTTTGAGTGCGGTAACCCAGACACAGAAAGACAGTTATCACATGTACTCACTCACAGGTGGTTTTTAAACATAAAACAAAGAAAACCAGCCTATAAATCACAATCCCAGAGAACTTAGACAACAACGAGGACACTAAGAGAGACTTACATAGATCTAATCTACATGGGAAGTAGAAAAAGACAAGATCTCTTGAGTAAATTGGGAGCATGGGGATCTTGGGGGAGGCTTGAAGTGGGAGGGGAGAGGCAGGGAGGGGAGCAGAGAAAAATGTAGAGCTCAATAAAAATCAATAAAAAAAACCCTCCGTGTGTGTGCACATTCAATGAGTTTGTGTGAGTGCAGCCTCCTGTGTCAGCCCTTACCTACCTCTTTGAGGCAGGATCTCTCTTGTTCTCCACTGAGTATGCTGCTTGCTGTCCCATGAGCTTCTAGGGATTCTCCATCTCCACCTCCCATCCAGTGCCAGGAACCCTGGGATTTCAGATGTGTGCCGTTGTCGCTTGGGAATCTGAGTCTAGGTCCTCATGTTTGTGTGGCAAGTGTATTATCCACTGAACTATCTCCTCCGTTTCTTGACTGCATTTTTAAAAGCTCTCTCTCGCTCTCTCTCTCTCTCTCTCTCTCTCTCTCTCTCTCTCTCTCTCTGTGTGTGTGTGTGTGTGAAAGAGAGAGAGAGAGAGAAGAGAGAGAGAGTCACTCATATGATTAAGTAGTCACATGGGAAACAAGACAATATATTAGAGGATGTGTGTTATTTCTAGTTGAGAAAATGTAATTTTTAAAGGCTTTCCCCTAATTTTCTGCTATATGGATACACACTTAACTTGTTTCAACAGGAAAGAATAAAAGAGAGAGGAAGAGTTCAAGTTTCTAGGACTTGGGCAGCTGCAAGGAGCAAAGAGAGGAATAGGAACACAAGTACTGGGCAGTTTTAGAAGGGAGGGGGGTCTGAGATCCATGTCGTTTTAGAAGCTGGAGGGAAAGGAATGTGAGATGGCCCTGTGGTGATGAGGCCAGCAGCCACTTAAGGCTGTTCCTTTTTTGTTTCTACAGAGCATCTTCGGCGGAGTGCTAGCTGAGCCAGTCCATGATCAACCAGCTGACCTCCCGAATGTGCAGCAGAACACATCAGGAAAACCATGTCTACCAGGTGCATTCTAGATTGATTGCTAGTCTTTGGCCCTGACCCTCCACCCCCAGCTCCATATTCTTCCAGTCTTCTGGTCTTTTCAATTCCGATTTCTTTTATGCCATAGATATTGATATTTTCTAAATCCAAGGTCCTGAAGATTTGTCTTCATGTTTTCTATGAGTTTGGGAATTTCTGTGCTTCTATTTAGGTCTTTGTATGCAGTATCAGGTAAGGATCCAGTTTCCTTTTTATATTGGGCTTTCCAGTTTCTTTCTCTTTCCTTTCTTTTCTTTCTTTTTTCTTCTAGATCTAACCCAGGGCTTTACTCATGCCAGATGAGCACGTTACCATGGACCTTTAGCCCCAGCTCTGCTAGCCAGTTACTGTCCACTTATTTGCATTGTGTGATTTCTGGGGACACTACAGCCATGAAATTGCACAACCCAGCTGTGTTCGCATTCTCCTTGGAACCTTAGGTGGCTCCCAGCCTGGATCAAGGCTGGAGTCTGTGTTCTGGAAGTCCTAGCAAGGCAGGCTCTATCATCATCCTCAATAATTTTGCCAATCAAGAGTCATTGATTGATACTGGAAGTTAGAAGAAAGGAGATTTGTCCATTGTGGCCATAGTGGAAACAGACAGAGGGTCTAAGTGACCCCCCCATCCATCTTTGACATGAAGTCTAGGGTTAAGTAAGGGTTCAAAGTTTTATGTTATTATATTTTCATATTTTTTAATGATTTGTTTATTTTTATGTACATTGGTGTTTTTGCCTGAATGTATGTCTATGCAAGGGTGCCACATCCCCTGGAACTGGAGTTACACCCAGCTGTGAGCTGCCATGTAGGTGCTGGGAATTGAACCTGGCTCCTCTGGAAAAGCAACCAGTGCTCTTAACCACTGAGCCATCTCTCCAACTACCAGAATTATTGACCCATTCCTGTTTTGGCCCCATTCCATCCTGCAATATGGTCTGACAAGTTGAAAATCTCTTTCCTTACAAGTTTCTGTCTCCACCCAACCATGGGTTTCATCTTCTTTCCCCAGTATAAGATTTTCAATTTGTCGGACCGCAGTGTCTCAATAGTCGTATAGTCAAAGGTAGAGGTCACAAGTGTCTCTTTAGAATGGCCCCATTCCTTCTAGAAGGCCCATTACAACCTTGCAGGCTCTGGCTGCTCCCTGTGCCTGTGGGCGCCACTGCAGAGGTTAGACACACTGCTCCTTGTGCCTGTGGGCGCCACTGCAGAGGTTAGACACACTGCTCCTTGGCTTCCTAAAGAAGCTGCCAAGCTGCCCCCAGGCCTTGCACCTCGCCTGGGCAGCACAATAGAGCCAACCTGTGGGGCAGGTGCAGGTGAGCGAGCCCTGAAACCGTGAGCACGGGAGAGCGGTCCCCAGTGCTCATCTGTCTGTGGCAGCATAGGCAGGGAGGGGTGGGCGGAGAAAATGCCCCGTAGACAAGACCACAGTCAATCTGAGGAAGGCAGTTCCTCAATTGCAACCCCCACTTCCCAGGTCCGTCTAACGAGGACACAGGTCTTCCCTGCAGCTCCGGAAGTCCTGAAATTCCATTCATCGTCTTTCTTTCCCTCCCCAGGCTCCTACCTGTCAGAAGAGAATGGTTGCAGGCCCTGCACGGATGGTATAGACTACACCATTTCCTTCAACGCTGAGCCTTCGTGCATAAAGTGCAGCACCTGTAAGACAGGTACAGAACAAAGGGGCTCTTTCCCACAGGTGCGGTCTGGGGAGGTGGGACTCACAACTGTTGTGGACTCAGAAATCTCAATTCCAGCCCAATTTGCTCTTTATCCCACCCTGTTCTCCGCCTGCCCATAATTCAATGGGACAAAAATTCAAAACACAAAACCAAAAACCCTGGAGAATTAATTTGTGCTGTGTTTTAGGAATGGTTGGGACCATCAGTGGAGAATAAAGTAAAAACTAATCTGCCGCTGTGGAGAGCAGGGCCTAGTACCCCCAGATGCATTATGGGGCAGTTAGCACTGCCGCACCACTCACTACGTATAACTAGCCTCACTTGGCGAACAGAAAGCGTCCTGGTGCCGGCTATGCCAGGACTTGTCCTGAGGAGTGGCGGGGCTCCACAGGGCACACGATGTTAGAAATGGACCTTGAAGGATAGAAACAGGGTTTTAAGTGGACCAGGGAGATCTCAGCCAGGGTTCCAGTGCTGAGGAGGAAATAGCCTTGCACATTTGGAATAGGGCATTAATCCCATTCTGGGTCCAGCATGAGTCTCCTCAACTCTGCAATGGGTTTGATACCCAGTAGCAAATCTTGAGTTACCACGGTAGTGGCCTGCTTTGCATTTTCTAGAAGTTGAAGTCAAAAGTGTGGGTCATGGGATGTAATGCCAACTTCAAAAGGAAAAGAGCCACTGAGAGTCTCCTCTCTGTCCCTGTGGTCAGTCTCCAGCTATGAGTGACATGTTATCATCTATCCTTGCCCTCTGGATGCATCAGCTTTTTTCTTAATATTGGCTGCTTTCTAGTCCTGTGAGACCCGAGGCCGTTCCTTCTGGAACCTTCCACAGAAACTTCAAAAGGCTTTCATCTTTCCTGCTGTGGGCCTGCTAAAGTGTTTAGATCGTAGGCTATTGTTTTAGTTTCTTTTCCTGTTTGCTGAGACAAAAGCTCTGCCAAAAGCCAAAGGAAGAGAGGGTTGAACTGGCTCACAGTTCATCCATCCATCATCACAGTCAGTGACGTTAAAGTGGACAGGAGCTTGAAGCAGCCGCTCAGCTCCCGTTTTCAGAGAGTAATAGATGTGTGTGCTCAGCTCACTTTCTCCTTCTTATATAGTTCAGGAATCTAGTCCAAGAATGGTACCACCCAGTGTGTAGGAATCTCCCCACCTAATTAGCTTAACCAAGATAATATCCTCACAGACATGCCCAGAGGCTGTCTCCTGGATGATCCTAGATCTTATCAAATAACAACAGAGATTAACCATCATCAGAGAAAGGAATGGCTGAGTGGATCCTGCTGGCTCTGGACTAGGCTCTCTTGTTCTAGGTTCTGAGCTCCTGGTAGGTGTGAGCACTTGGTCCCTGCTTCTTCAAGCTCCTCCTGTTTCCAGGAGCTTGAAGAGCGCCCTTTGTACATCCCTTGCTCCTGTCCTCATGAAATGAATGTTCCTCTGGTTTCCTTTGTGTTCCTCTCGTGTTCCTTTGGTTTGACTGAGGAGTACTCAAAGCTGCTCCTGGGAGCCATTGTCTGCATGCCCTGGCTGTGGTATAATAGAAACGGGTCCTCGTTATTCCTTCCTACGTTCAGTGGAGCTGAAACAGAAGGAGCTGTGTCAGAAGGAAGTGTTACCATGATAACCAGGAAACCTCATCCCTCAAACTCTTTCAGATGAAGATGAAATAAGGAGATGCAGCCCCACCCGGGACACGGAGTGTCAGTGCAAACCAGGCACCTTTAAAGATGGAAACAACACTGAGTTCTGCCGGAAGTGCTCCGAGTATGTCACGGGGTCCTGGAACTCCTACAAGCCCAGGGAACCCCAGAAGACCCAAGTTTTCTTGTATCCTTTTCTTTCCCTCTGACTCCATGAAGAACCCACACTAGGAGGTGTTAGGATTCCCACATTATAGCGGCCCCGCCCCCCTCGGGCTGACAGCGGTATCCCCAAACATTGGGGGGGGGTCTTCTGAGCCCACTGTGATCTCTCCACATCCAACTGCAAATCTCTCCATGTTCCTGTCCCCCACCACCAATCCCTTCAATTTCCCACCTGTTCTTTTCCCTTGGCCAGATAATTTGTCTACTGTCCAGAGAGTTCAGCATGAGAGGGAAAAGCACACAGCCTGGCTTGTGTTTATTTATATCACCTCAGAATTCTTGAGAAGCCTAGGAGGATGGAAGGGCTGCAAGCCCGCAAAAACACGAAATGAGGCTCTGTGTGTATGGCTTCCTCAGGGTTCTCAGAGGCACCTGAGCCGACTCAGCTAGCCTCGCCCCGGGACCCTGTCCTCTCAGTAACCCATGTCTCAACTTCAGGAGTTTGAGGGAAATAGTTCATTTACTCTTCCCTGACCATCTGGTTACAAAGGTCTGCTTATTGAAGGCTGACAAAGGGACATGGCTCAGCGGTGACCACACAGGTTTCTGCCCTTCTCCCTAACTTAGGATCTCCCTGTGGCCCAGAGCAGCTCAGCACACACCCTGCAGAAAAGGCAGAAAGGTTGCCACCATGCCTACAGAGAGTTCCCCCAAAGATTGCACCGTGTGTGCCCAGATGTAGGGATAAATTTGGAGCCTGTCCTTCCTTTACTACCATCTCTGGGACATTGGGCAGAGTGGGTGCCTCCCCGCTCACCACATCTGGCCAGCAGCCTTCTCACAGAATCTTATTTGTTCCTTGTGCCCAGGTGCACCGATGAAGAGTCTGAAAAGACTTCCTGTACCCCGAACACAGACAGGAAATGTGTCCCCAAGGACTCGCGACATAACTTAGGCCTCATCATAGGGCTCCCAGGGCTGCTGCTGCTGCTGATTATTCTTGCAGTTGTAGTTGTCCGGACCAGGGCATGGAAGCGTGCATTGCAGTTCATGAGAAGATCCTGTCCGGGTGAGTATTGGCTGTAGGTAGGTCCCTTGGACACCAAATCTGAATCTCTCTAACCTGCTCTTCTCCTTCAGAATTGCCCTCCCTGTGTCCCGAATCCCATTGTCCTTGAAGTCTAGACCTCTCTTTTGCTCCTGCAATTGATATGCCATCTCCCACTTCCCCCAAACCACAAAAGCCCGGAGTTAGGGTTAGGGTTAGTGTTATCTTACCAGTCCATCTCACTGATGGTTCCCTTGTTCTTTTAACCAAGTCTGAGATCAACTCCTCAACTGAGGATAAAGGTCAGGATAGGAGAGGGCAGAGCACAGCTGTGGTTACTGCAAAACCAGAGATTGTATGTGTGTTGTTTTCCTTCAGTTTCTCCCCAGCTGCCTCCTCAGCCTGAGGGTAGCCCCAAGCAAGAATGACCCCCTCCTAATCCAGTGTTGGAGCCTCTTGCTCACTCTGCTCAGATAAAAAAGGGCTGATGAGTCCCCTGCCCACTGGCTATGGCAACCTCCTTCTCTTCTAGGCCGTGAACAGTACTCTGAAAGTGCTGTGCCTCTCACGGAAGTGCGGACATCCAGCCCAGAAAATGACTCTCCTGCGTTGAAGGCCCCAGAGGTTGTAGTTCTGCTGAGGAGCAGAGTTTTCTTTTAATTTTCATTTTCAATTTTATGCATATGAGTGTTTTATCTACATGTATGTCTGTGAATCATCACATGCATGCCTGGTGATCATGGAGGCCAGAAGGGGACATTAAATCCTCTGGAACTGGAGTTTACAGTCGGTTGTGAGCCGCCATATGGGTTCTAGGAATCAAACCCAGGTCCTCTGGAAGAGCTACCAGTGGTCTTAACCACTGAGCCATCTCCCCGGCCCTGAGAAGCGGGGTGTTTGAGGGGCTGCGCAGCTCAAGGAGAAGGGTACATCTCCACCTATCCTGGGTTGCTGTCCTGGCTCACTAAAGTGATTGAGGCTCCGAGTCCCCTTTCAAGCAATTGGCCATTTTGAGCTTCCACAAGGCCTCAGACCACGTTGCAACTCTGCCTGCTCCTGCAGGTGGGGTCAGGCGGGAGTGTGACCTCCTTGGCACAGTAGTAGGAGCACATAGTGCCAGCAGCAGATCATGGCTGTGTGAGCCTAGGGTGGCCGCACTGAGATGGGTGGGACCCTGAATGGGGCCTTGGGTGTGGGCTCTTGAGTGGCCTCTTTGCCTTCTCAAAGCCATTTCCACATACTTGTATCCCTCAGGAGGATCTGCAGTTCAGGATAATGGTTATGCTGAGCCCCTAAGCAGCAAAGAATGGCCGTCCACTCTTTTTGAGCATATATTAGACAGACAAGAGCTGGTGGTAGGGTCCCTGAAGACAGTGCTGGTTTGTTGACAACGTGGCAGTTGTCATCAGATCCTCTGGTCCAGGGGATGTAGAGACAGGGTGACAATGGACAGGCTGCACATGGCCTAAGTGTGGTGACGGCGCCATTCTGTAGAATATGCTGAGTATCTGTGATGTTCATACTGTGTCCTCAGAGCCTGGGACAACACAGGCATGGAGCAGATGCTGTGGCCAAGAGGGGCTGAGTTCTTGGGTTTGATTTTTGTTTGACTTATTAGGGCCTCACATACACTAGACTTCACGGCTGAGCTACATCCTCAGTGACTTTGTAAAAGTGTTTTATTGAGACAGTAGCTCCCTAAGTGTCCCGGGCTGGCCTCAGCTTTGCCCTTCTGTCTGAGCCTCCAGAGTAGCTGGCATGACAGACCTATGCCATCAGGTCTGCCCAGATACTTCTCCTGTTTTCACCATTTGTTTGGTTTTCTGATCACATTTGTGGGCAAGAATTCATGAAGAGGAATGTCCAGATCAAGGTTACAGAGTGCTGCGTGGTGCGCCCATAGGCACACACATAGTCAGAGACACACACAGCCATGCCTGCACACACACACACACAATCAGACACACACTTACACATACAGGGTATCACACACACAATGTCACATACACATTGCTGTTTCTCATCTTTATCGGCTCACATGTTTTGGCCAGACATCTAGCACTTTCTGCTGAATGTGCTATAGGAAAGCATCAACTATCTCATGTGTTCATGATTTTGTTTTAAACATTTTCACATACGTTATCCTAATGTCCTTAAGAGCTTTGTAAGGAAAAAATGCTTCCTATATAAGTATTTTCTCTCATGTGGGTACTAGATCTCTAATTTCTTATATTACACATATATGTTCATGTGTGTCTACATGTATGTAGGCATTAGCATGTGGAGGCCAGAGGTCTTTATTAAATGTTTTCCTCACTTCTCTTCTTCACCTCGCTATGTCCTGAGGCAGGTTCTTTCCCTGGATCTGGAACTCACTAGCTGAAGTGGCTGGTCAGCAGGCCTCAGGGATTCCCCGGTCCTCACCTTCCTGATGCTTGAATCATAAATGCAGACAGCCATGCACATCTCCCCCCCCCCACCCCCACAAGCTTTTTAAATTTTATGTTATGTGTATGAGCGTTTTGCCCGAATGTATGTATGTGCACCCTGTGTGTTTCCAGAGCCTGATGGGGTCATAAGAGGGTGTCACATCCTCTGGAACTGTCAAATCCTCTGGAACTGGAGTTCCTTAGTCTCTCTGCCTGGGCTTCATGAACTCAGGCCTCATATTTCTGTGGCATGCACTTTACTGACTGAGCCATCTCCGCAGCTCCCATGTTCCTAATTTTTATCCTTCAGTTTGTTCTAATATTTCATTTTGAACTGTTAAAATCAGCAGATACATTTGCTTCCCATACTCATAGGCTCCCCAAACCCTTCCCCTAAAGTAAGATGAGCCTCTGATTTCTTGGGGAGATTGTTTTTTCCCTACTGACTCCACTTTTTACATATTTCTGTGTCATCTAGATGGAGTTGATCTTGTGATGTGATATTGTTCCTAGTCACCATGTGACTCTTTCAATTCCGTTAAATATTGAGCCCCCCACTCCCCTGGTCCCTCCCCACTTGCAAGTCAGATGTTCGTCTTGACAGTGACTTCCTTCCTCCTGGACCAGTCTCTATTTCACTTTTACAACTCTATTCAGCTTTTATTTTATGAAGAGAAAGGGAAATTAATTTAAAAACAGCCAGCAGCCCCTCCACTTAAGTGACAGGATGCAAACTGTGCAGGAAGGGGCTCAGTGAGTACTAAGAAGACCACACAGCTCACCCCCGTCCTGAGCGCTGCTCACCCCCTGCCTGAGAGATGAGCATCGTTTCATTTGCTTTGGATCTTTTCCTTAAACTCCATAAATTTTTTTTATTTATTATGTATACAATATTCTGTCTGCATGTATATCTGCAGGCCAGCAGAGGGCACCAGACCTCATTACAGATGATGTGACTGGGAATTGAACTCAGGACCTTTGGAAGAGCAGGCAATGCACTTAACTGCTGAGCCATCTCTCCAGCTTTTACACTGTATCAAAATCATTACATGAAAGACTCACAGACATACACACAATAGTCAGTGGCACATGAAGTTTTCTAATATATTAAAATAAGCAGATATTTAATTTTTCAACATTTGTCAGTTTACCCAGATACAATTTAACATTCATTCATAAGGGTTTCTTTCCCCCATGCCCAAAGCAATAATTGAAATTTTTGTTGAATTTGTCTTAAATATTAAAAGGGGCCATGGAGAGAATTATTCAGTGGTGAAAAGAACCTGCCACAAAAGCCTGATGACCTAAGTTTGACCAGTGGAGCCCACAAAAAGCCAGATATTAGTAGTTCAGATCTCTAACCTCATCACTCATACAGCGAGATTAGAGGTGGAGATGGGAGAAGACCAGAAACCCGTGGGCTAGCTATCCTGGAATATGCAATGTGGCAGAAACAAGAGAAGGTGAGAACTGGCTTCCAAAAGTTGTTTTCTGACCTCTATACATACACTGTGGAACACAGGCACCTGCACACACGCACATACACGAACACATGGTAATGAGTTTTAATTAAATATAAAAACTAATCTAGTAGGTATTGAGATCTTGTAAATGCTCGATTTTTTTTTTAAAAAAGATTTACTTTATGTGTTTATGCACGCACAGGTGCCCACAGAAGCCAGAGTGGGGGCATTGGATCTCCGGGAGCTGGAGTTACAGGCATTTGTGAGGTGCCTGATGTAGATGCTGGGACTGAACTCTGGTTCTCATTTAGGGTAGTAAGTGCTCTTAACTGCTAAGTCATCTCTTCAGCCCATTATTCAATATTTTTTCTTATCATAGGAGGCAACATTTTTAGACAAGATTTTTTTCTTAAAATAGCGAAGTTTTATGTTTTTCTAGAGACATGTGATCCTATTCATGACAGCACTGTGTTCTGTGTGTTTGTTTCGTCACCTTTATAAGTTGGGTCTTTGTCTTAGTGTCTTTCTTTTCCTGTTGTGATGAGTGACCCAGAGAAAAGCAATTTATGGGAGAAAAGGTCTGTTTCAGCTCACAGCTCTAGGTTACAGGCCTCTGTAGCCGGAGGTCACAGCAGTACAGTTCCGGGTTACAGTCCGCCATCACGGGAAGTCACAGCAGCACAGTTCCGGGTTACAGTCCACCATCACCGTAAGTCACAGCAGCAGGTGTCTGAGAGAAGGAGCTACACTCTGTCCACAGTCAAAAAGAGTACAATAGATGAATATTTCACACTCAGCTCTCCCCTGCTTTTCATCAGCTCACAGCCCAACCCGTAAAGTGGTGCTGCCCTCATTGAGGGTGGGTCTTCCCACTTTTATTAACTAAGTTTAGACAATTCCTTATGAAGATTCTTCCCAGGGGTCTCTAGACTGTGTCATATTGACTCAAACTAGCCATCGCAATTCTCTTAGTTCCATTTTTTTTAATTTACTGTTTCTACTATGTTTTAAAACATTCACCCAAAGTTATGTTCATCTCTTAGTATTATTTAAACTTCGGTTTTTAAGCATAGAAACATCTGAAACAGTGACTTTTTTCCTGCTTCCTGCTAAGGATCCTACCTCTTGCTTGGTTTTTGTTGTGTGTTTTCCCCCTTCCGCTGTGTGGCTGGAGAGTTACTAGGAGAATGGGGTGTGTCTTGGAGCAGAGTCCATGCATTACATGTAGAGCTTTGTGGGTTTGAACCCTAGCACCACAAAACAAAACAAATGAAAAACAGTGGTTAGAAAAAGGGCATTTTGGTCTTGGTTGGACCTGTTGATTTCCAATGCGTTATCGTTGTGAATGACATTGACTGTTTGATATAGACATTTTCTTCATTATTGATGTTTCTGAAGAACAAGTCTATCTCCATCTTTTTTTTTAAGATTTTAGAAATTTATTATAGATATAGAGTTCTGCCTGCATGTATGCTTGCACACCAAAAGAAGGTACCAGATCTCATTACAGATGGTTGTGAGCCACCATGTGGTTGCTGGGAATTGAACTCAGGACATCTGGAAGAGTAGTTATTGGTCTTAACCTCTGAGCCATCTTATAGTAAAGTTGTCTTTAGGTTCATTCCTATTTATGATTAAACCTCGGTTTCTCAAGGACTGGGCTATGCCCCACCTGTAACCTCAACTACAAGTGGCTCTGTACTGCCTGTTCTAGGAATGGTAATCATGTCTTTGTTTCAAAAGGTTGTATGACCACCTGTGACTACCAGTTGTTATGACTACCTTGTTATGCCCAGCTTACAACCATGTCTTTGTTTCAGGAGTCTGTGTAGGACTAACTTGCTATGCTCATATTCTACCCCTGTAAACCCACCTATTTTATCTGCCAAATCCCCCATTTGGAAACCCCCTACTCTGATTTCTGTAAAACTTTGTCTCTCTCACATCCAATGCTGGGCTCTCAAACCCTGTGTTAGGGTGAGGCAGCCTGTATGTACAAATCAAAAAGCTTACTCTAAGTAGGTCGGTGATCTTTCTCCTCCCATCTTTGGGATTAATAGTATTCTTTGATTCCAAGATGGTTTTGTTTGTTTGTTTACTTGCTTGCTTGTTTGTTTCATGGCAGGGTTTCTCTAGTTTTGGAGCCTGTCCTGGAACTAGCTCTTGTAGACCATGCTGGCCTCGAACTCACAGAGATCTGCCTGTCTCTGCCTCCCGAGTGCTGGGATTAAAGGCATGTGCTGCCACCGCCTGGCTAAGAGTTGTTTTTTAAAAGCCAAATTTAGGGACTGGAGAGCTAACTCAGCAGTCAAAAGTGTTTGCTGCTCTTCAGAGGACCTGGGTTCAGTTCCCAGCACCTGCACTGGGTGGCTCACAACTGCCTATAATTCTATTTCCAGAGTACCTAACATCATCTTCTGGCCTCCACAGCTCCCTCTCTCAAACACATGACATACATCCAAATAGACACACATAAACATAAATTAAAAATTTCTTAAATGATCAAATTTAATATTCAGTTGTACCAAATACCTTGCCAGCCCCCATGCTATTAATGTTTTCATTTCCATAGTTAGACAGTTGATGTATGTGTTGTTATTATTGATTAAAACACCTGTAAAGCCTTGAGACAAACCTGACCTTGCATTTTGCAAAGCTCTCTCCTCTGTAGTCTCCAACTGAGCTTTTTAAAGAGGTCTGGAGCAGAGATGTTGGCCCGAAGGGAAACCCCAGAGGATGGGGGACTACTCAGTCTTGACTAGGCTTATATGGTTGTCCACTTGTCACAGAACACTTGAGGTGAGCATCTATGCCGCACTAGGCCACCAACATCAAGCACCTTCAAGCAACGGAGGCAGGAAGTTTATCTTAGAGGGGCAGTGTTGTAAGTCTGGGAATCAGGATCAGGCCTGGGCCTCAGGTCTCCTGACTCTGACCAGGGTGCCTCTGCCGTATGTTTACAGGAACCCGAGGAAGCTGCGGATTCTCCAACAGAAGATGAGTCGCTAGTTCTGGCAAATGGAATCAACCCAGTTGACGGTGAGTGTTTTATATGAGGCAACAATAGCACAGCAGCCCAGGGACTAGGACAAGTATTCCAACTGCCATTCCCATGGCAGACAGCGCTCTGCCAAGATAACTAATGATGGGCACAAAACCTAAACTGTTGTTACTGGACTTAGGGGCCATTAATCCCCCTCTCCTCCCTTCTGTCTCCACTGGGACCAGTACCTCATATTGTGTTGTTAGAATCTGTTTGTCCTTCTGCTGTCCCATCATCCCTCCCTTCTCTCTTGTAGTCCCCACCCCTGCCCCCACTAGATCCTCCAGAATAGTGCACTGGCCTGTGTCAATACCCATGGTCCTTAGAGTAGAAGCTCTTGGCAGGACCAGACTTGGTTTGATGAGCTTTACTACAAATCACAAACGTGACTTCAGAGACATCATGCAAAACTAATGGAAGCCATCTCATGAATCATATTTCAGATATCAACTACATAAGTTGATGAATTTTATACATATTGAGTCGAATTAAATGGCATTTGTTTCCTTTCATATTTCGTTAGTTAGCTAGTAAGTAAGGTAGTTTTACATGGGCTCTGGGAACAGAACTTAGGTCCTCTGCATGAGCAGTATGAACCTTTACCCAGTGGGCTCTCTCAGCCCCCATACTCAGCACCGTAATGCATAAGACTAAACCCAGGATTTGAGTATACTGGGTAAATACTCTACTCTTCCAATTAAGCAACACCTCTAAGCCTCCTTTCACTGGTTAAATAAGGCTGTTAGAATATGTTCTTGTGGGCTGGAGAGATGGCTCAGAGGTTGAGAGCATTGACTGCTCTTCCAGAGGTTATGAGTTCAATTCCCACCAACCACATGGTGGCTCACAACCATCTACAAAGAGATCCGATGCCCTCTTGCGATGTGCAGGCAGAACATTGTATATATGATAAATAATAATAAATAAATGATAAATAAATAAACCTTTAAAAAAAAGAATATGTCCTTGTGACTGCTGGAGCTACTGGGACTCCTGCTTCTGTTTCTCAGGATGGAGAATGACACATTTCATACATACTTCAGTCACATCATCACAGCCCCATACGTGAGTTTCCATTACTCAGTTACAGGTTCAAGTTTTCAGTCATTCCTTTTCCACCATCTAGTAGCAGTGTTGCAGAAGTGAGGGAGGCCAGCTTGCACGAGAAGGTCCTCCACCTCTCTGCTCTGTTCTTTTTGCTGAGGCAGACAGGGTTGCCCTCTACCCCATCCACCATGAATACAGCCTAAGCAGCCTCCGTTCCTGGAGATACTATGCACCCACTCCACTGTGCCCCTCTGTGACTCATGCCAGAGACTACCCTTCACACACACACATCTATGCACCTTTTACCACTGGGCTATTTGGCAAAAGGATTCCTTTTTTAAAGGTATATAAAAAAAACTTAAAAAAATTCACTTTGTATATATGGGTGTTTTGCCTGCATATATGTCTGGGCGCTGCTTACATGCCTAGTACCTTGCAGAGGCCAGAAGATGTGTCAGATTTCCTGAAACCATAGCTGCAGATGGTTGTGAGCCATCATGTGAGTATTGGGAATCAAACCCAAGTCCTCTGTTAGAGCAGTCAGTACTCTTAACAGCTGAGGCATCTCTCAAGCACCCAGCTTTTTGGTTGGCTTTGGGTGTGGCAAGGCTCCAACAGCACTCATGTAATGGCAAGAGAGCCTGTTAGGCCCTACCCTTGACTTCTAGATCTGATTTAGGATCCTCCACCGTCTATAAGGGGCTTGCAGTTTACCTGTTCCCCATGTTTTCTGACATCCATCCCCGAAGCTAATCTTCAATTTCTGTCGAACCATGGTGCCCATTAATTCCTAGGACAGCCTCCTGCGGCAGATGGACCTCACAGACAATGAGATTCAAGTGATCAGGGCTGAAAGCCAGGCACCAGGAGAAGCCTTGTACCAAATTCTGCTCGAGTGACTCAACCAGACAGGCCGGAGTGCTTCCATCAATGATGTCCTGGATGCCTTGAAAGCTGTGGAGGAGAGGTATGCCCTGGACACAATCCAAGACAATGTAGTGAAATCTGGAAAGTTCATTTATCAAAAAGCTACAGCAGATCCAGGCATGATGACACTCATCTTTGATACCAGCACTGAGGAGACAGAGGCAGGAGCATCTCTGTGAGTTCAAGTGTTCAGGACTGAGTAGAAGCCTGTCTGAAAAGAAGAAGAAGCTGCATCAGGCCTAGTGTTACTGAATTAATTTTATTTTTCCTTTCTGTATTTATCTGTATTTATTGTATCGTATTACTGTATTGTTGTCGTACTAGAAGCTGGACCCAGAACCTCATGAACACTAGGCAAGCATTTGAACACTAAAATGCATCTCAAGCATCCTGTCTTGAACTTCTAACTCCCAGGCATCCAGATTTCTCGCTTCCTCAAGTTGAGTTTGCTGGTTTTGACACATAGGGAACATAAAAAGCATTATCTGGGGTGACCCATTCCCCACCCCCTTTTCTACCACTTGCTGGGGACTGAGTGGCATCCTGGCTCCAAGTGCCTCTGAGATCCCAGAGAAGCAACTTTTGTTTTGTTCCATGGCCTAGATTCTGCTTAGTTCGGGTTCCAGTCCTTCTTTACATATACTTGATCTCTCTAGGTGTGTATAGCTGGATCTTTTAAACTTTACAACTCTATATTTGTTTGTTTTTGTCTTAGTGTTCGGGGTACCAGACAACTATATAGGTATATATAAATACTTACATGTTTACAGGTAGGTGTCCCCATGTGCATAGAGACTTTGAGAACTGTATCCACACTGATGGAAATGGCTGGTCCATGATCTGCCATTTATGATGGGTAATCTTAATGAGATTGAGAGGTGCTGGACCAAAGAGATGACTCAGCAGATAAAGGTGCTTGCCACTGAGCCTAATGACCCAAGTTCTATCCCAGAAACCACACGATGGAAGGTGAGAACAGATTCCTACGAGTTATCCTCTGGCTCATGATGTGGCATGAGCATGAACGCATACACACACACACACACACACACACTAAATAAATAAATAAATGTATTTTTGGAAATCCAAATTGAGAGGTACCCAGGAGATTGTAGTGCCCACATTGGATGTGTTTGTAAGGGCATTTCCAGAGAGGGCTGACATGTAGAACCGCAACTGAGATGAAAGGGCTTGCTGTAAATTGAGTAGCACCATCCAACAGGCTAGGGGCATGAATGGAATGAAAGAGGGAGGAGAAGGCAGCCGGCCAGTGTTCACAAGCTCCGTTCTTCACAACTTGTCTGCTGCTGCCACCATCACCAGTGGACACCCTTCTCCAGCTTCTTTGACCTTTCCACGTGGACTCGGCAACACTCCAAGGAGTCTCGGACTGTCAACCTTGGTTTGGGATATCTTTGACTCCTCTTGTTTTGAGGCCCCATTTCTTGGACTGAAAAGCTACAAGATTTTGTGGTCCTAGGCATGCAAGCCAATTTCACGAGTGCTCTTTTATAATGCTATACTGTTGGTTCTAATTTGGACTTCCCATCTACAGCCAAGGTGAGGAGATGGAAGATAGGTTAGGCTAGAGGTGCCCAATCAGCTCATCTGAGTCCTTCCTGGTATCAAGGGAGAAGGGGGCAGAAGCTTGCCCTGGTGTCTGCATGTCCTCAGGGATGGTACGTATGAATGTGAAATACTAGTAACTGATGAATTCTCAGTTCTGGTGAATCTAGCCCTGGGGCACAGAAATCCATCCTTGAAGACCATTGTACAATAGTAAACACTGATCTGTCAGTTCTTTGGGTTTTGGTTTTGAGTCTGGATCTTGGCTGTGAATCCCAGACTGCCTTCCTTCACAACTGCCCTGCCTCAGCCTCCTCAGAGCTGGAATTACAAATGGATAGGTGTATCACCGCATCCATAAATCACTATTTTTAAAACACTGTGATAGGGATTCTGGAGAACTGGCACATTCTGATTTTTGTCCTGTATGAATTCCTATTCTGTTTTTAAAAACTAACTTGTTTCTGAGACAGAGTCTATATCCGTATGTAGCCTTGGCTGACCTTGAACTCACTTTGTACACCAGGATGGCCTTCAACTCAGGTCTGCCCACAGCTGCCTTCCAAGTTCTGGGATCAAATGGGTATGCCACCATACTTGGCCCTCACCTCCTTTTGTTAATTTAATATTGTGAATTTTTATTTTCACTTATGAGTGTTTTTCCTGCATATATGTGTATGATATGTGTGCCTGGTGCCCACGTAGCTCAGACAGCAGCATCTGATCACCTTGAACTGGAGTTACAGACGGTTTTGACTCCACTATGTAGGTGCTTGGAATCAAGCCCAAGTCTTCTGCAAGAGCGAGTGATCCAAACCGCTGAACACCCTCCTTAATTCCTCATTATTTCAGCCATCCTGGCAAAACCACCTCCAACAGACTCCAGTTACATAGCATGACAGCACCTGGGGGTGGCTGTTCCCAGGTATGCTGTAGTGTCTTGTTGCTGCGGCTTCAGGAGGGAGACCCCCCCCACACTTCTGAGTAGCCTCCGCATCGGTGTTCATTACGCTGGCATTGTACATCAGGGCTAGCTGGGCTCTGTAACCAGCCCCAGCCCCAGCAGTAGGTGTGTGTGCCACCCTCACATCTGATGCCCTTTCTTTGTCTCTCTTGGCAACGTGTTGGTAACAAAGCAAAACAAGGCATGCCATTAGGTACAAAATACTCATGTATTATGAATTCATGACCAAATTAAATATGAAACCTTATATAAAAAGGTGTGGGTTTGTTTGTTTGCGCCCCCATCCTCTAAAACAATCCTGAGTGACATAGTCCAGAGGAGCATGTTCTTGTGTCACTGACCCCTGCTGGAGGGGGGGCTTTCATGTCACAGGCTTGCCCCGCACTGAGGTGTCTCCTGCTTCTGTCTCCCTGGAATCCAGAGCACCCATGGACTGAGGGGCTGCAGTCTGCATCTCCTCTCGTCTGCTCATCCATAGACACCCCCCCCCCTGGGTGGTCCTACTAGGCTGTAGGGCTTACCTGACACTGGCTCTGACAGATGTGGGGGTTGGGGTTGGGTCCCTGAGGGGTAAACTGGCCTGGGTGGGGCATGGTCCTCCTTGATTTTCCTCCAACCCCATAAATCCTCCCTTTCTCCCACTGGCCTGTCCATCCTCACCAGTGATGCTCGATTGAGAGACCCGATTCCCCTTGCTCTTTAGGACTGGACTCTACTTCTTCCTTAGCTCCCAGGAGATGCATCCCTTACTCTGTCCTCAAAGGAAGGGGTGAGAGGCTGCCTGGCTTTTCCAGGCTGACATGCCCTTTCACACTTGAAGTTATTTAGAATTCGGCTGCAGGAGGGCACACTAGCCAGCAGAGGGCAGCATACAACACACTTCCCCTTCCAGCGATTCTGGAGGCCTTGACCACAGGGCAGAGCTGCAGTCTTGGCGGTTCCAGGTTCAGACTATGGAGCTCAGCTCGGGTGAGACCGGCTACTGCCTATTGCTTCTGACAAGGCAAGATCAGAACTCTAGGTCCCGGTACCATACAATTGTAGGGTTACATTTGTTTCTGGGTCTGCTTTAATCCCAGACCTAAGCAATCTATCCAGGTCCCTGTACTTCCACCTCAAGTCTAAAATATGGTCAAAGGAGCTGAAGTATGGATTATAATTATGAAATGGAAAGAGTCAACTGAGGTCCAGTATTTGTCCCGTGGGGGCTTCAAGCCACTGTGTACATTCTCCGGTCACCCAGATTCCTCCCTGGACAAACATCGTTTCCTTCCCGCTCACCTCTCCCATTCTCTCCTTCCCTTTATCCTCAACCAGTACCAGTCGTGCTGTGTGGCATGTTCCCCAGTGTGTCCTTTCCTGACACTGAACCCCTGCTGAACGCCTCCCACCCCACCCATCCCATCCCCGGAAGCACAAGCTCCCTATCCATCCTGTGAAGTCACCCTTGAAAGAGAAGGCTAGTCTGCATCAAGATGGAAAATGTCCAAAGCCACTTAAGCCTGGAAGCTAAAACCTTTCCTGCAACCCTGCAACCATCAAGCCTCGGACAACAGCATCCTCGGATATGGAGGGGATGAGTCCTCTCCCGAAAGGCATTGTAGTAGCTGGGACCACATTATTGTAGAGGCCTTCATTCAGCTTTAGGAAAATGCATACCCTACAGGGTCTCTTTTTGGAACTTCATTTTGGGGGCAGATTGAGGGGACACAAAGGATAGAGTGGTCTTGGTGGCGATTTCCTTTTGAGTTTGGTTGTCATTTGTTGGGCTGCTTTTGCCCCGCCCCATAAAAAAGCAACGCTACCCAGAGACAGGGGAAGAAGCCTAAAAGATCATGGGATTGCTGAGCACAGCGCCCACCCTTCCCCCTTCTCCTCCATTAAAGGTCAAATGTGAGGAGTGCTGGAGGGGCGAGGTAGAGGTACCGCCCTCAAACCCTAAATCAACGCTGCCACCTGCCGCTAGATGTGCATCGCCTGTAGCCCCTAAAAGATGCTAGCAGGATGCAGTTTACACCATTCTCCCACTAGCAGTCACAACTCATGACATGGGCTCTGCAGACTTCTCTCCTACCCTGACTTCTCAAGCGGGGATTTAATGCTCACAGAACACTTGTAACCCTTGCACAAAATATGTGCTACCCTCAAGTCTGTTGGTGAAAAAAACACGGGGAGGAAATTGTCTTCCCGGCCAAAGCAGAGACCAATACAGACAAGCCCACGTCCAGGGAAGCTTTCCTCCATTGGCTCTATTGTCAAGTCCAGAGAGAAAACACCAGAGCTCTGAGCTCTGCCCTGCTCCCCACCTCGGGGCAGATGTCTTCCTGCTCTGCCTGGAATTGGAGGTGGACCCTGTTCTGATCTGCAGGGCCGGGCTCCTCTTGGCCTGAGCCACATTGGCTGGTGAGAACGGCTCTGCCCGTAGGGCCCTGGTTAGGTGAGTTCCCTCGTGCCCTGTCGGGTGGAGAGGATGGTAAAGAAGAGCAGAAGGACAAGGGCTAATGAGGACAACAGCAGCAGGATCAGAAGAGGGTGGCAGCATCTCAGACCACGGCCGAGGAGGAGGAGGACGGGGACGCTGAGCCCGCTGCTGAAGAGGATGGCGATGAGGGACTGTTCCAGAACAGCCACCGCCGCTTGGGCTGCCTCCGCAGGTGTAAGTAGTCCTCTTTCTCGCGCTCCTTCCGCGCGCGCTGATAGTGGTCCTCTTCTTTCAGGTACCAGACTGGCGGCCACCGGTGCTTCTCGAAGTACTCCTGGTTTTCTACAGTACAATGCAAGCGGCGCTAAGTTAGGAGGTAGCCCCAGGTCAGCAATAAGCCCACCCCTGCCCATGATCCAGGTTAGCTCCTCCTGCAGAAGCTGCAGGGGCTGGCATAGAGACTCACCCGGGGACATAGCCTTCATGTCTCGGGGGAACTTGCGGCACACGTTATTGTAGTTGGTGCAGATGTGGTGGAGACACCAGTCGGCCAACTGATACGCACAGTGGAACTGTGGATGGTACAGAAAAGCACCCCTGTTGGAGCACGGACTCTGCATAGAGTCCCCAGGCCCATGGAGCAGCAGCATCAGTGGGCAGTGCCCACACATGCTCTGCATTAATAAAGGGCTCACCCTCTAAGCGAGTTAACCCAGAACTGAGGAAGACAGTGCTTGATGTGGGCTCCTGGACCTTAGTACCATCCCCACAATCGCCTCCAGCACGGTGCTACTGATATTCGTGTCCTATATACCCTTCCTCTGGCATCTGTCCTTCTCAGCTCTTACCCCACCGGGGTCCCTTCTCCTCCCATCTGCAGACAGAACAGTCCGCACTAAGAAGTGTGCAATCAAGTTAAGGAAACCTGGCACCAGGCACACTCAAGGACCGAATTTCTGGCACTGTGACTCCTTTGTTTGGCAATAAGGAGGCAGGCAGTTAACTTCAGAGTGGAATCCTCAGTACTCCCCAGATGACCCCAGTCCTATTCTGGGGGCCCCTCTGATGATCTATGGTCTCGGTCCCTCCGTCTCTTGGCCAGCTTTCTTTGCAGATATCCAGAAGTTCTCTAGTTGCATCCTAGTATATCAGATGACATAAACCCCACCCAGCTAGCCAGCCAAGGCTGTACACCATGCCAGCCATCACCTCCCAGAGGCCTATACTCTGCCTATGGGCAGAGAAAGCCTGGACGCAAGCCTCGTCAATCTCTTCCCTGCCATGATACCTGCGCCAGTTCCAGGAACACAAGGACATCCCCATCGATGTCCACCATCATCTGGGTCGCTTCCATCAGCCCGGTCACCGTGTACTGCTCTGTGGCACACACATAGAGCCAACAATCAGCTGAAGAAACATGGCCAAGGACCCACAGAGCTTATGTCCCACCTCAGGGGATTGCTGCAGGGAGGGGTTCAAACCAATCAGGTCCTAGATAAGTCCCAACAGACCAGAAAGTCCAAGGGAGACTTGAAGTTTGTTCTCACTGTGGGGAAGACCTCAGTGGGGTAGGGAGAACAAATGAAAAAAAAAAAATGCTAAGCTTACTAGGGTCTTGTCAAACTACATATGTCCCATCATATCATCTGATATGACAGGGTCACAATCCTCAGTACAATTAGCCACACAAATGGAAGAGGGCCTGGGACCTCTTATCTGTTGCAAATGAAAACAACCTGAGAACTCTGATCTAGAGCTGGGTTAAACCTACTTACTGATATTCATTTAAACTTTATTAACAGATGGGACATTAATCTTCCAGTTTACATGAAAACATTTATATGGTGGAAGTAAACGCCCTTCACCCTAAATTTAATTAAAAGTATCAGAATAAACCCATGAGGTAATTTTTTTTTTCCTTAAAAAGTGAGTACTTTTTCCCCGAGCTCCTCCTACAGGAAGGAAGCAGGAAGTATCACAAAATCAATGATCATTTCCATTGTCAACCATGAGAAACCAGGACTTCCAGCATGTCCAGGGCCCTGGGTTCATCAACACAAAGAAGCCAGGGTGTTTTGGAGAAATGGCTGATCCCAGGTCTGAAGCATAAAGGTACAGGGTGGAGCTAGAGATATCTTTTCATTTCAGACAGCAAGGAAGCCCAGGACGGCAGAGCAAACGTGAAGAGACTGCTATCAGTTAAAGGTACAGTACTTGAACTTCAAAGAAAAAATGTGTTGGTTGTGGGGGTACATGCCTACTATCCTGGCACTCTGGAGGATGAGACAGGGGGACCAGGAGTTCAAAGCCAGCTTAAGCTACACAGCAACTTCAAGGCCAGCCTGGGCTTTATAAGGCCCTGTCTTAAAAACAGCAAACAAAGGGCTGGAGAGATGGCTCAGTGGTTAAGAGCATTGCTTGCTCTTCCAAAGGTCTTGAGTTCAATTCCCAGCAACCATATGGTGGCTCACAATCATCTGTTATGAGATCTGGTGTCCTCTCTGGCCTGCAGGCACATATGTAGGCAGATATTGTATGCATAATAAATGAATAAATATTTTAAAAAAACAGCAAACAAAAAAATAAATACAATTAAGTGAAACTTACTAAATTTGTTCACGATAGTACTTTAAACACACACACACACACACACACACACACACACTGGTCACCCTCAAAGGTGGGAGGAAAGAGCTATTATCGCAAAAACTTTTACATCAAAGCAAAGGACCAAGAATTACTGCCTTTCCTACAGAAACTCGATTACTGAGTAACCAAACAGTAAGTGATGGGTGTGTCTCACTTCGGATAAGAAGGAATGGCTGAGCTGGAGTGGTACCTTTTTTTTTTAATTTTTCATTTGTACTGACCCCCAATTCATTCATTCATTCATTCATTCATTCATTTACTATTTATTTATTGTGTAGACAATATTCTGTCTGTATGTCTACAGTCCAGAAGAGGGCACCAGACCTCATTACAGATGGTTATGAGCCACCATGTGGTTGCCAGGAATTGAACTCAGGACCTTTGGAAGAGCAGGCAATGCTCTTAACCACTGAGCCATCTCTCCAGCCCTGGAGTGGTACCTTTCTTGCCGCACCTAATTAATTGATAGATCTAGGCACTGATACTCAACAGCTGCTAAAACCAGAACAACAGGAAACCAGGCAATCTTTGCCTCTTGATGAAGGGAGATAACCAACCTATCAGGCAGTTGTTTTTTTTTTTTTTTTAAAGTGCTCCAGGATCTAGATTCTAAATTGAAAAGTTTACAAGAAATATGGTGTGGAGAGAATTCTATTACCTACACCATTGAACTCGGAATTGTGGGACTGGGGCTATAGCTCAGTTGGGAGAGTACTGGTCTACCACGCATGAAGTCCTGGGTTCCATCCCAGCACCACATCAGCTAGGTGTGTGGTGACAACTATAATCCCAGCATTCCTGAGGTGGAGGCAGGAGGATCAAAGTATGAAGCAAGTCTAGCCTTTAGAAGAAGAAAGGAAGGAAGGAAGGAAGGAAGGAAGGAAGGAAGGAAGGAAGGAAGGAAAGAAGGAAGGAAGGAAGGAAGGAAGGCAGTAAAAATCTAGATCACAGAAAACTATAAGACCAAAAGTGCAGAACAGGGCTGGGGAGGTGGCTCAGGAGGTAAAGGCACTTGCTGCCAAAGCTGACCACTTGAGTTTGATTCCCCAAAGCACACAGGATGAAGGAAAGAACTCCTGAAAGTTGTCCTCAGACCACCACATACATACAGCAAATAAGGAAAGATATTAAAATTAAAACGGACCAGCATTGGAATGGGCTGGCTACTTTCTGTCAGCTTGGTACAAACTAGAGTTAACCTGGGAAGAGAAAACACAGTAGGCTTTCTTTTGGGTCTCCAGCTCCCAAATCATGACACGGAGACTTCATATTAGTTAGGACTGTTTGGCCTTAGCTTATACTTGTCCAATTAGCTCTTATAGCTTAAATTAATCTATTTCTCACATCTACATTTTGCCTCGGGGCTTTTTACCATTCTTTCACTCCATACATCCTACCCAAGTGTCTGGCTGCTAGAAACTGCCCGGCTCATTCGCCCCAGACATCTCCTCATCTGTCTCCCTCCTCCTCCTCTCCCTCTTCCCCTGAGCCTAGATCCCTCCTACTCTCTGCCTGCCAGCCCCACCTATCCCTGTACTGACTATCTACTGGCCGGTCAGCTTTTTATTAGACCAATCAGGTGCTTTAGGTAGGCAAGGTAAACCGGCAACACATCTTTACATAATTAAACAAATGCAGCATAAACAAATGTAACACACCTTTACATAGCTAAAGTAATGTTCCAGAACAAGGGAACCTCGACCCAGGAATTGCCTTCATGAGACTGGCCTGTGGACATGTCTGTTGGGGCATTTTCTCCATTACTGATTGATCTGGGAGGGCCCAGCCCACTGAGGGCATAACCAACCTTAGGCAGGTGGTCCTAGTTGTATAAGAAAGCAAGCTGAGTGAGACATGGACTGCAAACCAGTAAATTCCTCCTTGGTCTCCGCTTCAGATCCTGATGCGGGAGAATTGTCTGTATTCTGTCAATCATATTTTAATAAAACGCTGATTGGCCAGGCAGGCAGTATAGGTGGGAAAACCAGACAGGAAGTAGAGGTGATGCAATGAGAACAGGAGAATTCTGGGAAGCAGAGAGGTTCCTCTGCCATTCCTGCGCAGACCACCGAAGAGGCAACATGTAAGCTGTCACACTGAGAAAGGTACTGAGCCCATGTGGCTAATGTAGATAAGGATAATGGGGTAACATAAGTTATAAGAGTTAACAAGAAGCCTGACCTAAAGCACCAATCAGCTTTATAACTTACAGAGATCTCTGTGTGATTGATTTTCTCTTGGATTTGCCGGTTGTGGGGTACAGGGCGGGAACAGATACCCCAACAAGCCGGTCCTTCATGTTACAAGATCCTGCCCTGGCTTCCCTTGGTCAAAGACTGTAACTTATAAGCTAAATAAATGCATTCCTCCCCTAAGTTAGTTTTAGTCATTTTTTTTTTAAATCACAGCAGCAAACAGCAAACTATGACAGTTTGCTTTTCAACAAATAATTTTAAGGAGGTTTTTTTTTTAATGGACAGGTTACTGATTAAACAAAATTCAAAAGAAAACACACACACACATTCACACACACACAAAATAAAACCAAGCTATAGCATTTAAAGGAAGCATACTTAGATGATAAAACTATAGACTGTGAGGAAGTGAGTCTGTGAGAATTCTCTAAGAGTGCTGGGCGGTGTGGTTTCCTCCCGGGACAGGAGAGGAGCTGTAACGGGGGGGGGGGAGGGGGGGACTAACTCCTGATGTGCCAGGGAGGCTCAAGTTCCTGACATCCATCAAGATTAGAAAAGGATTTTGTTATATTACGCAAGTTCAAGTATGAACGGACAGCCTCAGAGAATGTAAAGCCTTTACATTTTCTGTACATTCGCCAAGCACCTGAAACTCAGCCTCTCACCGATCCTTAACAAGGTGCACAGTCATGCTTTCTTGCAGTTACCGACCATTTCTGGGGGAAAGTAATTAGATGTTGCTTTCTGTTACTTTCTGCAAGGCCTTCCACAGGGCAGCGCAACTCGATATTTTATGGCAGCCATGCGAAAATTACCTACGTGGGCTTAACCAGGGGTGCTTCTCCGACTGGCTTCCAATTCCTGCCCTAGTGAAAAGAACTCCCAGAAATACCTTTATGGGTCTAGTTTATCCCTGAGGTGATTACTTTAGAGACAGCTTTTTGAAAATGGAATTACTCCATGTCAGAATTTGAAATGTTATGGCCTCTGGAAAGAGCACACCATTTCCCACAGGCACCAAAGGGTGCTATAACAACAATCCCGAGATGCAGCTCTGACTCCCTACCCTAAAGTCCCTCTTGCCCCTAGCTTGGGTCACTGGACTTCCCCTATAGGTCTGAATTTTAATATTCTGTCCTGAGCAATGATTTCTGCCTTCTTGCTGTGATGACATGTCCCCTCTTATTCTCCTCTCTTCACAGGACTGCTGCCTCCCCGGTATCTGCCCTGAATCTCAAATAATTGTCCAGGGCTCTGGCAGCTTTGACACTAGCCCGTCTGGATCCTGACTCAAGTTCCAAGGTTCTTCTCTCTGCCCTCTCCTGACCTGTCTTGACCTCGGTGCTAACACTAGGATCAAAGTCAACAGCAACACAAACACCAACCCCACCGTCAACAGAAGCAGCCTGCCTGCCTGGGCCTCCATCTTTAGATGGCCTTCCCACTGAGGGCACACGGCTGCCTACAGCTGCAACTACCAATTGCCCACATCTTCCTTTGCCTTGAGATTGGCTCATTTTAAAAGCTGAGCTATGGCTTTCATAATCTCTCCTCTTTCCCTCCCTGCCTCCCCCAGAGTGTGTGTGTGTGTGTGTGTGTGTGTGTGTGTGTGTGTGTGTGTGTTACTAGGAACTAAACCCAGGGGCTTTCACAAGAAGGGAAGTGCTACCACTGAGCTGCCCCCCTTTCTTTGAGACAAGGTTTGCTAAACTGCCTAGAATAATGAAACTTCTGTCGCTCAGGTGAAACTTGAACCGAGGCTCCTTCTACCTCTGCCTCCTGTTAGCTCTGATTACAGCCCATAATACTAGGCTCAGCCCTCACAAGCCTTACAAGGAACTACGACAGCTTAGTCAATGCTTGCTTTATGTTTCTGCAGAGAAGCAGGAAGAAAAAGTGGCGTCAAAGAAGGAGAGGAAGAAGAAAAGAACAGGAAGCCGACCAGAAGAAACATAGCAGCCGCAGAAATATGTTCTATTCCCTGGGATTTCTTGACCTTGCTTGAGTGAAGGTCAAAGTGTCATCACCTACAGTGACCATTTTGTGATGTCACAAGACCTCTTAGGTGACCCATCATCCCAGCAACACCAACACACACACATTGCACTCTATGTACTCAGGAAAAAATCTACACAGGCCAGCAGACTGAATTTTTTTTATGAGCATTTGTATTTTGCCTCCATGTATGTCTATATGAGAAACCCTGGAACTGGAGTTACAAGCGGCTGTGAGCTGCCGTGTGGCAACTGGGAATTGAACCCGGACCCTCTGGAAGAGCCGCCAGCGCTCTTAACCGCTGAGCGGTCTCTCCAGCCCCCAGCAGACTGAACTCTAAGAGCACTTTTCCCCTTGGCATCCCAGTTTGTCCCCAGGAGGAGAGAGGTAACAAAAGATACATAATCACTCCCCGGGGTCTCCATGGCCTTGTCCCAGGGAGGTCCCCGTACACTATAGTTAGTTACCTGTGAGGGCGACCAAGTGCGGCAGGCAGAGGCGGTTGGCTAGGACTATGAGCTTCATGTCATCCAGGTCTGGGCTGGAGGTGAACATGCCCGTGTAGAGGTACTCCAGCACGGCTCGCATGCAGCTCTTGCTCGTGTACGGGAACACCACCTAGGATGGGAAGGAGCAGGCAAGAATAACTCAGTCCTAGCGGATGAAGACCTAACTCGGTGGGCTTGTCTCCCGCAACCAACTAGTTTCCTGGGTTGCTCCTGAATCCTCTTGGGGACTCCCATAACCTTGGCACCCAGCCTCGGTGACCTGACAGCATTAGTGAGCGGGGCTCTGGCGTCTTCTAAAGGGACGTAGATTCTTGGCACCTTCTGAAGGCACTCTGGGACGGAGGATGCTTGAAGGGGCCATTTGGGTCAGCTACTCCCCCAAGCCCCTGGCGCCTGCAGGGAACCGCTAAAGTGGGCTACGGAATGAGCAAAGGGAACCAGCAGTCTGCTCAGCGCTGCTGCTTGGGGCCTCTGGGATCTCATCAGAGCAGCAGGGAAAGAAAAACTGCTTTCTCATCAGATGTGCGTCTCTCTGGACTTGCTGGGAATCAGGTGGAGCTTTAAAATGTGTCTATGGTGCTGGGAAATGCCCAGGGCACACGGGCCCCTGGGGCTTCAAAGAATCCTGGCCCCATATCCTGTATATCCAACTCCTGCTCCCATGTCAGAGACCAATTCAGCTCTGAACCCGTCTGCACTTTTTCCTTATTCACTTCCTTTCAAGAAACCTTACGGAGCTCATATTCCAATTCACCCAGCGTGATCACTAATTGCTCTTCGTTCGGTTTTTCAGTCAAGGATCTGGTGAACATGGTCTAAGGGGTGGGAACCATGGTGGTTCCCAAGGGGGTGGCAGGGGTACCTGGCAGAAGTCAAAGACCATGTCCCTGCTCTCCAAAGAAATTACAGACCAGCTGGGAAAACCAAATGGGGATACTTTGAATTTTATACTCTGTACAAAGTAGAATCCTGTGAACTATAAGATAGAGTGATGGGCAAATGATGGTCTAGCAGACAGAGATGATGGGAAACCAAGGGCTGTGTCTGGGTTGCTCTGCTTGTCTGGGAGGATGAAAAAGAGGGAACAGACGCAGGAGAACATTTCTAAGGGCTCATCAACAAACCCCTTCCAGCCATAGGTTGAACTGGTACTCGAGAGGGAAGCAAATGAGGAGGAGGATGGGTCAGTTGAGGTTGGGCACTGTTCGGAGAGCAAGACGTCCATATTCATTATGCACTTTTATATTCTGTATTGATGCTCTGGCACCTAGAGCCTGGTTGGTCCTTTCCAGCCTGGTCAGCCAGTTCCTAGAGCTAGCAAGCAAAGGAGCTGCCTGCAAGTGGGCCCCCCTCTGCCACACTCACACCCCAGTCTACCATTTCCTGCTATCATCTTTCCCAGAGCCTGGTATCAGACAACCAGGCTCCACCTTCATGTCCTGGCTGACTCTTGATTTTTCCCTGTGGAGCCCCACAGGGTGTAGCCCCCCTCCTGGGGATCTCTATCAAACCCCTTTTCAGTGGCATTATCTCCTGATCTGTTGGTCTCCCCACCGCTCAATAAAAAAAATAAAGCCTTCCCTTGCAGATACTGCTGACTTCAGCTTGGAACACAGGCTTTTCAAGCGCTTCTATGTGTCTCAGGGAAGCAACAGAGGATAACCAAGGAACCAAGGACTTGTCAATCCTGAGTTCTAGACCTACCCTCTTTCTTCTAGCTGCATAGCGTTGTGCAAGCTGCATAACTTCTCAGGCATCCCTTTCCTGCATATAATGGGTGCAGCTTGCTATATGTATGTCTGGGTAAATTAAATGAGATACATATGGAAGAGTTTTCCAAACGACTAAGATCTTGTAATTCCCTCTCCTGCAAAACTGAAAAACACTTAGCTATCCGAAGCATTTCATAATTTGTTTTGAGTCTATCACTGTGGTTAGAACACAACCAAAGCTGAGGCAAGTACCATAAACTGATGCTGTCTCAAATTCAAAGATGCAAACGTCTCTCCCATCCTCTCCCTTCCCATCTCCAGCCTCACCTCCCTGGTAGAACTCTCCACAAAGGGCCCCCCAAACATGGCGGCCATCCAGTCACAGCTGGAAATCAGGAGAGGTTTATGGGCGCTGATGGTCCCATCATCCAGGATGAAGGTCACATCTGTCCAGGAGGAGAAGAGGCCTCACGTAAGGACACAGGCTTGGAATGCCGAAGAACCAACCCCAAGATCAATCACTGGGTCCTGACTACCCACCTGACTTCTGGAGTCACGTGATAGGAGTCCCAGACAATCAAGCTATTGGCTTGTGCAGGAGGACAACCATATTTTCAGGGCATTGGGAGCTGAAGCCAACTCCCAATACTAAGCGGATAACCTAGGCCCCTCAGAAAGTTTCCTACAGAGAACCCCTTGTCTTCTAAACATGACCCATACCTGAGAAGGTGCCCTTTGCCAAGCACTCCTTAACCCGGTTGGTCCGGCGGACATGGAAGGCCTTGGTGATCTCCTGATTCATGAAGGCCTCGTTGTTAAGAATGTTGGCCACCATCATACGCAGATCAAAGACCTCTAGCAGCTCGGCAATGTGGGCAATGTGCATGAGGTCTCTCTCATTCTCACCCAACTCCCCTGTGTACAGGTACTTGAGAACAGCCCGGAAGGGTCCCGGCTGAATAGAGCTATCCATCTTCACCACCACCATTAGCCGGGATTTGAAGGTCAGAGGATCCTCCGCCATCTCTTCCTGGATACTCACAAAAGCTCGGCTCCAGGAGGAAAGCACACGCCCTCTGCCTGGAAGGTACCCTGTTCCATTACCCCTTAAGATTCCATCACTGGTTGAAGCCCGGAGGCCAGCAGGACCAGAGCCCCCAGCCTCGTCCACACTCTCACACACATCAAAGCTGGCTGCCCGAAGCAGGAAGTCCCGCCCATGGTGGTGATGGTGATGATGATGGTGTTGCTCAGGGTGGCTCCGGTGGTCCTCTGGGCGGGGGCCCCCTGGCCCTGAGGGGCCCCCCAACTCCCCCTCACTCAGGTCCATGAGGAACAAGTCATAGAATTTGGAGGAGGAGGTGGAGAGGTAGATCTTGTGGGCAAAGATGCGCACGCGTTCCTGCAGCACCAGGATGACGTCCGCACAGAGCGGGTCTTCCAGGAGGTGGGCGGGGCACTCCTCGCTGCTGGAGGGGGGGTCGGGCACCACGATGATGGGGGGCGGTGGCTTGGGGGGCAGGAAGGGTGCTTGCAGTAGAGGCCGCTGCACATTGCGCAGATGAGATTTCCAGAACTGCAGGTGGCGGCGGGAGATGAGTGCAGCCCGGATGGCATTGTCAAAGACGTCCTTGATACCAAACTGGGCCACCACGCTGGTCTCGTAGTAAGGGATCCCCAGCTCCTTGGCCACTTCCCGACCCTTCTCTGGAGGGAGGATCTCATTGGGCTTGATGGGCCTGGGGTGTGGGAGAAGGGACAACAACTGTGTTGGTGGTGGAGGGAGCCTGGCCATTGTTTCCCAGGCCGGAGGGTCTACTCAGCATCCACCCTTTAATCTACTCCCAGATGTCCCGTGGTATCTGAAGGGGGCCAGTTGCAAGATCCGCTTCAGATTCCAAATCTGTGGAAACTCAAGTCCCTCATATAAAATACCATTGTAGTTACAGAACCTGTGCGTATCCCTGCTATTCTGGAAACCTCTTCTAGATTGCTTATGAAATATAAATGCTAGGCTATCTCTCAGTGTTTCTCAACCTGAGGCAGCAAATGACCCTTTCATGGGGATCTCTTAAGATCATCAGAAAATATCAGAAAACACAGATATTTACACGATGATTCATAACAGTAGCAAAATTACAGTTAGGAAGTAGTAACAAAAATAATTTTATGATGGGGGGAGGTCACCATAACGTGGGGTCGCAGCATTAGGAAGGTCGAGAACCACTGCCACAGTTGCTATCACGCTTTAGTTAGGGAATAATGACAGAGTGAGGGGAGTCTAGACGTTCCCACTCACACTGCTGGGCCCACAGATGAGGAACCCATGATAGGAAGAGCCAACTATATTAGCATCATGAAATTATAAGACCCTTTTATACAAATAATCTCACACATGTCTTCTCCTAAATGTCTTTCCTCATGGGAAAGTACAGGACTGCTCCCACGGTGGAATACATGACATAGAAGGATGAATGAGTGAATGAGTGAATGAATGAATGAATGAAGCATGCTTGTTATTGACTCTGATGTGAATTTGCTCCAAATAGAAGGAGATGTAAGGGTCAGCGGGATTTCTTCAGGGCTTAGCTGGGAGCCATAGCAATGCTCTACCCCCGTGCCCCTTCCCTCTCCCTGAGCGCCGGTACCCCTACCTAGCCAAGGGTCTCCTGGCACGGTTAACGGCTTCCAGATCAGCATAGCGAAGGTCCAGCTGGCAGCCCACCAGAATGACAGGAGCTCGGGGGCAGAAATGCTTGATTTCTGGGTACCACATGGTCTTGACATGGTGGAGGGAATTGGGGTTGGCAATGGAGAAACACAGAACCACCACGTCAGATCTGGGGGGAGGGAGAGAAAAGTTACAGGCAGAGAAAGTTTGCGGGGATCCATTTGCTCCTGAAAAGAGGAACACATGTCTGCTTGCTCCTGTCCCACCTCAGCCTACCCCGGTTTTATGAACCTACTTACGCCATCTTCCACACAATATAAATGATTGTGACTATAATGTATGTAGGCATTTTAAAGCACAAAAATTCATTTGGCCTCTTGTGAGTTAAAAATTATCATCTGGGGCCTGGGGATATGGCTAAGTGGGTAAAATGATTTCTATGCAAGCATGAGGACTTAAGTTCAGATCCCCAAGTACTCAGACACTCACGTAAAAAAATTAAGCATAACTGTAAGCATCTCCAGTATAGAGATGCGGGGGGGGGGGGCATCCCTGGGGCTCTCTAGCCAGCAAAACCAGCCAAAACTGTGTGCTCTGGATTCAGTAAAAAGCCCTGTCTTGCTGGGCAGGGTGGCCTATGCCTTTAATCCCAGGCACTTGGAAGGCAGAGGCAGGTTATCTCTGAGAGTTTAAGGCTGGTCTGGTCTACAAAACAAGTTCCAGGACAATCAAGGCTGTTATACAGAGAAACTCTGTTGAGGGGGGGCTGTCTCAAAAAAACTAAGGTGGAAGAAGACATCCTGATGTCCTCTAGCCTCCACAGTTACACACACGGGTGCAAGGCTCTCTCCCCGCCAATACACACATGAATACACACACACACACACACACACACACACACACACACACACAAACACAACTTACTATTTTTCCAGGCCTGGTGGTACAGGCCAAATATTTAGGAGGCTGAGGCAGAAAACTTCCAGTACAAGGCCAATCTGGGCAACTGAGGAAGACCTTGTCTCAAAATAAAGTTCTCTGCTTGTTTGTTTAGCTTTACAAAGGGTTAGAGACAAACATAGCTCAGTGGTAGAGCACTTGCTTATGACGCGTGAGGCTCTAGGTTCAATGTCCAGTATTGAAAGAAAACAAAAAGGAAGAGAAAAAAGAAATGATCACCATCTCACAGTGAGAAAAGTCATCCCGGAACTGCTCAGAGCCAGTAGGCTGCAGAGTTGGGCCTCAAACCAGACATCCAAGCCCAGGATGCCTGCAGGCCCAGGGAATGCCCACCGCCATATCCCCTCCAGTCTTTTCTCACAGTTTCTACTGTATTGAGTTACTAAGTTCCTCAGAACAGAGTGATAACTCTCCTGTATGGCTCCCTACCTTCCATAAGCAAATCGCCGGTCTTTGTGGTGGTCTCCAAAGGTGTCCCAGAGGCGCAGGGAGACACTGACATCATCTACCACATCTCGGGAACGTTCTAGCACCTGGGGGAGACAGTACAATGGTTCTTGGGGCAGATGTCAGCTCCACCCTGACGGGGAGGACGGTGCTGGCACGTGCGTCTTGCACAACCCGCTGTCCACATGAAATCTCTGGGGAACCAATAAGGAGGGTAGTCTCCATGTGAGCAGAAGCAGGCGAGACCTCAAGAGAGCACACTTATTGTTGGAGAAGGTAATGTTATCACTTTGGGCTGTGATTGCACAGGACATGGTACAAAGCCAAAGCTAGAAACCTAGCCACCGGCTTACCCAATTGTGCTGGCTAGTTTTATGTCAACTTGACACAAGCTAGTCATTTGAAAGGAGGGAACCTCAATCAACTGAGAAAATCCTTCCATAAGATCTAGCCTCAGGAGGGCATTTTCTTAATTAAGTGATTGATGGGGGAAGGCCCAGCCCAACAATCACTTTCTTAATTAGCAATTGATGGGGGAAGGCCCATTCCTGGGCAGGTGATCCTGGGTTCTATGAGAAAGGTTCAGCAAAGTCATGAGGAACAAGCCAGTAAGCACCACCCCTCTGTGGTCTCTGCATCAGTTCCTACCTCCAGGTTCCTACCCTGCCTGAGTTTATGTCCGGACTTCCTTCAGTGATGGGAGTGTAAGCTAAATAAACCCTTTCCGCCCCAACTTGCTTTCAGTCATGGTGTTTCATCACAGCAATAGAAGCCCTAACCACGACATCACTGAAAACACAAATGATCAAAGATACCTCTTTGGGGGTGGACTTCCTTCAGATCTCTCTCCTGGGGCTCCTTCTACTTCATCCACCTCTGCCCCACCCCTAGGGCCTCTCATGAGCTCTAGAGACACCCACCTACAGTCCAAAATACATAGAATGGACCCCCAACCAAGGGCCTTGTAGTCTTACCTCTTGACATACTCGATACTGGTCAATGGCCCACACTGTGGGCACATGGGTGGCAAGAAGCTGGTACTGGGTGAGGGTGGCATTGCAGGCCCGGGCACAGATGAGCCTGGTCTTGCCCACGGCGTTGTCCCCCACCACCACGCACTTGATGGTCTCTACGTTTGGCCTTTCATAATCCATGTCAGAATCCATTAATTGGGACCTGAGGGGGGCAGGAAAGGAGGAATCAGGACAGTTTGGCATGTTATACCCCCGAGGATCAGGGTCAATACAAAGCAGCCCTCCTCCGCTGGCTCTGTGGCCTTGTCAAGCATTAGCACTGATGTGAAGAGAGAGGAGTGGGCAGCATTCAGGGAAGTGGCTTTGCAGAGCCCTGGGAGACAGGCGCTCATTCAGGCTGAGTAGTTGAGCACCATCAGATGGTCCCCCGCCATCCTGCAGCTGGCTTTCTGGATGAGCGCAGTCTGTGAGAGATCCCAAGGCAGAAACTGCCTTGCACCTGGCCCCAGCCCACTCCTCCAGAGAGAGGGAATCTGCCTGGTAGCTCACCCACCCTCTTCCCTCCTCCTCTTCTCTGGGGCTGTAGCAGCAGCAGAACAAACAGCTGAGAGAAGCAGACATGGGGCCAGGTCCCCACCCCTTCCCAGCATGCTCCAATGCAGAGTCACTTTAAAATTTAATGGACATGTTAGGGCTGGGCAGCAGCTCTCCCAGCTTTCCCTGTTTTCCCCTGGCCCTCTCATATGGTAAATTTCCAAGACCCAGACTGCTCACTACCATCCTCCTACCCTATCCTCTTTTATGGACTAGGAGCGGTTTATCTGGCAGCGCCTCTAAGTAGAGGGCCTTCTATGTACCTGCTGAATCTACAAGCCCCCCCCCAGCCCCTTATGCTGGTTCTCTCTCATTGCCCATGTGTCTTCTCAGCTGCAGACCTATTTTGAGATAGGGATGGAGGGAGTCCTAGCCCAGAACAATACACTCTATGGTCCCTGGACCTTCCCATCCCTTATCTGGGCTACCCGCCGCATGGCAGCCACATCCAGCTCCCAAGAGTAAGATCTACCTCCTTCGATCCTCCTACAGAGGAAGAGGCTTAGATTGGAAGATCCTCAATCCTCTGGGTCTCTGAGTAGAAGCTAGACAAACTGTCTATGTGGGGAACTGGGTGCTGGAGGAAGTTGAGGATCAAGCTTAGCCTAAACTTCTGCCTCAGTTTCCCTTGGTGATAGGCAGAGAAGTAGTATGTCCATCCCAGAGAGTAATTGAGCAGATGAATGGATAGAAGGCACTTCTGGAGTTAACAGTGGTTAAAAAAACTGAGGCCCTCAGTTTGAGGAGACTTTGAGGGCAGTCTCTCCCTTGGCGTGTACCCTTCTAGAAGGATGGGAAGGGAGCAGGGGCAGGGTAGAGGTGCTTAGGGCTAGCAGTTTGCCTCTGCTCCTTCCCTGTATACAGCCAGACGTCTCCGGGCTAGAGCCACCTGAAGTAAGCCTTCCCAGGTACAGGAAGGCTGGCCCCAGGAGAGTTCTGGAGGCCGCCCAGGCACTTTACTGCTGAGCCATCAAGACCAGAGCCAAGCCACCAGCAGCAGCAGAGGAGCCCTGTCCCTGGCAGGCTGTAACTAGATGCTAACATGCAGGAATGCAGAACGGAAATCCTCAAGTAAGGTGGCCACTGGGCTCTGCGCAAGTGGCTGCTGCTCAGCAACCTAAGCAAAAAGTGCAGCCGGGACTTCTTCTCCTGCCTGGAATTTTACAGGATCTGGACCCTTCCACTCCAAGGGGTCGCCACCCAGCTCTGACCCGGTCTCTATGGCAACTCTCCGCATCATTCCTGCTCCCTCCTGGTCCCACCCGCCAGGCTACTGTTACAGCCTTCCGCTTTCTGCTACCTGTCTTCTCTTCTAAACTGAGGACATAAAATCCTCCTCGACAGCTCCGAGTCTCAAGTTAGACAGCTGAGAGACGGGTGGGCACCAGGAAGAGCCAAATGGGTGTGGTTTCTGCCTTATGGGATGGATAACAGAAAAAGAAAAAGAAAAGAAAAGCAGAATCTCGCCTATGAATGAAGACAGAAACCCAGAGGGCAGCAGAACTTCCTGGTGTGGTTTTGATTCACTAGCGTGTAGGTCTGGAAGCAAACGGGAGAAGGTGGCACAGAGGCGGGGCCTGGGTTCTTAAGTCCAGGGTCACGTCCAAGTTCAGCTGCTTTGTGACATCACGCACACCTTGTGATTTTGCTTCCAGAGTTCAGGAGGGGACAGCGAGCCAACAAGTAGGAGAGTGGTAAACACTAGCTATGAGTTTAGGAAGCAGCCTGCCTAAACTGCAACCTAACCTGAACACTCCAGCACATCCCCTTTCTGGATGCCCCTTCACACATCCACCAACTCCTTCCCCCCCCCCCCTTTTTTTGGTCATCATCCCTGTTGCAATAGCAAGCTTCATTGTCCTATCTAGAAAGAGGCAAACCTCTTCACCTTTTGTGGACATCAGTCTCTGCCTCCAGAAAATGGGTACGAGGGTGTTGGGAGAAATTTTTTGAGTTTTGGCAAATTCATGCCAAGAGAGCCTGGGTGAAAGGAGGCATTTGTCTTCTTATGTAATATGGCATTATATAATGCTAGATTGCATATCCGTATGTGTAATTATATCTCTCTTTAAGATACAGGCTGGCCCAATTAAGCCAGCAGAACTTTTTGTCTAATCGGGCCTATCTTAAATGAGGATCCTGTCCTGGGGACAGCATGCCAATATTAATATAATTTCTGCTCTAGACTATTACTACTTTCTGGATTGCTCCTGATGATTGATGGTATAAGCACTCATGATGGTACCACTGCCCTCTCCCCTCTGGCAACTCTTTTCTTCGGTGACTCAAGACTTTCATTCACAGTTGCCTCAGCCCCATTCCTTCAGAGACTCCTGACCATCCTCCGCCCTGCCCTGGGTACCACAACCTCCAATGCACTCCACTCCTTGACAATCCCAAAGTCACCGGTACTTCCTCCCCCAACTCTTGTCCCCAAATCACCACTCCCCTCTTCACAGTCTTCTGCACAACCGCTTTCCCAGTTCTCTGTACTCTGTCCAGGACAGATCCGAAGGTGTGCTCGGATTACCCACAAACCTCAAGGGCTCCCATTCCCACCCCCGCACCCCTACACACACTCTTTGCAGAGCTCAAAAGCCCCCCTTTCCCTCCCACAGCTGATAGGAGGCTTGTTCATCTGTGGCTGCCCTAGTCTGGTTGTCAAGGAAACGACAATCTCCCTGGGAGCCTGGCTTGTCTCCTGGCAACCAATATCCCACATCCTGCATCTTACAAAAAATAAAAATAAAAATAAAGTAAAAGGAGGAAAATCGAGAAAATGAAAGTAAAAATCAAGGAAGATGGATAGAAAAGAAGAATCGGGAGGAGAGGAGCAAAGAAAGGCTGGATTCGGAATTAAAGGAGCTCCCACTGGGGAAGCTGACATTGTAATATGGGCGAAGGTGGAGGGGTGGATCCTCCCCACGCAGAAAACGTAAAGCAAGGCCCAAAGGGATCTTGAATAATCACGTTAACAAAAACAGAAGCCTAAATACAGGATAAACCTCTTCAATCCGAGGATACCCAAACATTAACAAATAAAGCTCAACATTTCCACCAGTAGTTTGTCAAAACTCAGCTGGGCAGACCACAGTGGAGTCATCTCTAAAGAAACATCTCCACAACCGTCAGCAAACACCCCAATTGGCTGAGAGAGAGAGAGAGAGAGAGAGAGAGAGAGAGAGAGAGAGAGATCCACACTCTGGATCTCTTAAACATGGTATTCTGCACACACATTTCTCTTTAAATGAAATAAATAGGGAGGGGGGAGGGGCACGCCACGCCAATGCAAGGCATATACTTTCCCCTAAAAAACACCCAAGAAAGGTTAGTTTCTCTCCTCCTCTGAATCTAGCAGCCTCAACAAGAGCCCAGAGGAACAGTGGAGCTCGAGGGAAAGGCAGGAGGGGCTCAGGCAGGAGAGGGGAGGGCGCTGAAGGCTGAGCCAAGGCAAGGCAGCGCGTTTGCAGAGGCTGCTTGCAACCCGGCCATAATAAAAATCAATCATGTACTTACACCACTACATGTGACGGGGTAATTTCTAGTGTAGGGAACACATCTCTTCCTGCTAAGCACGCTCATTTTAGTAAGATGTCTGGGGTCACTCCGCGCGTGCAAGCAAGTTGGGGCGCCGCCGACGCCGCTGCTCTGTGCTGGGGATTCAGTCTCCTGGGGTCCCGGTTCGGGTGCGATCAGAAACTCTGGCACAGCAGCCCAGGCCGAACCGCGGCGCGTGAGCAGCCTCGCGCGCTGCACTGCAGCCACTGCCTCTTCCGGATCAGCATCTCCGCGCGCCCCGGGCGCCCAATGTCATGGAGGCTCGTAGAGCCGGACTGCGCGCCGCCGCTCGG